CCTCTTCCCCCCTCCTCTCCCCTGCCTTTGATATAAAAAGGGGGTGGTGTAGCAAGATACAGCAGGCAGTTGAGCTGAGATCAGGCATTGGGCCTCTTTCCAGGGCACAATATTGAATATTCTTCTGTTTTTTTTTCTCTCCTTTTTCTTGTCCTTTTTTTTATGTATCTAGAAATGGCAATGGTCACGATCAGTTTGCGCATTCAGTCCAAATGTATCGGGTCATCTGCACAGTTCAGATTCATGTGGATGTTTCATGGCAGGAGGGTCTTTGGATCATGTATATGATGCAAGGACAGACATATATATGATGGAACGAAAGACAGTATGACCATTTTTTTTCTTTTTTTACTGACGTGATATGTTTCTTTTTCCCCTTCCTTTCACCACCTCCCCTTTCACGGTCCCTGCTTGCTACGACGGCGCTGATGAGATTGCTTCAGACTGGCACGGTCACTTGATCTTCCTTCAAGTTGTTGGAGTTCACATTTCGTTTGGCTTTTGTCGATTGCTCGTGTAGTTGGGATGGTTGAGTTGTGTTTCGTTTGTGTTCTCATCTTACTTGGCTTTGTTGGACATTTTTCTTTCTTTCGCCCGTCTAGGTGACAGCCTGACAGGGGCCATGATTGTTAGGGTTTGAAAGAAATTGTTCTACTTCGTGGCTTGCTTAAAAAAAAAATTGTGTTTCGTCTGTTGTGGGGTAGGCGGTAAATAAATAGTTAAGAGTAGTTTAGTTAGTGTTGATGAACGGTTGTGATGCGCTCACTGGGCTTGACCGGTGATGTCTCGCCCTATGAGGGGACCACCTACCTATTGTGTGGGATGCCAAGCCTGTTTCCTGGCATTTTGAAATATAAGGACGCCGGGTGCGGTTTTGAATTAACTTCAAAAAAATCATTACAAAAAGTTAATATATATATATACAAGGCTATCAGCCGGGCCGCCTGGGTACCGGGTGGACAGCCCGTGCAAGGACCAGGGAAGGTCACAGCAAAAAAAAAA